GCAGAAAAATAAAGAATATCTGCTTCTTGTAATCCACTGTAAATACACTGTAGAAGCTATTTTTGTTTGCAAGTGTATGCACTTCCATGGATGATCAGATTAATCACTTAGTTTGATGTCTTTTTGAACTAAGTGGAGGGAATTTCAAAAGCTGTTGATATACAGAAGACAATGTCTTTGTCAAAGAGAGATTTAAGAGCGCTTTAGTGCCAATCTTACGCATCCTCTGCATGGCAGAGAATCAGCAGTTAAGAACTGATCAATATTTGGACAATTTTGAACAAAATTGATTTGATTTTAAACCTGGAGTTTGTCATTATTCACTAAAGGAATGACACAACCAATTTTAAGTTATATTTTGTTAGGTTAAAATTCCCTGTAATTTGTAAAAATAACCTCTTCTTCTCCATACTGACCCTGGCTGATCTCAGCAATATAGCTAATGTAGAACTTACACACGTCTAACACTGAACAGAGGGTAATAAAAATAATGCTGGCCAATTCTCTGAGGTTCATACTATGCTTCTGATAGAAAAATTTTCCGAATGTGAACTCATCAAAAAGATAAATAACAAATGTGTAGGATATTGATATTACGCTATTTCTATTAAGTCATTCAAATGTCTTCAGTTAAAAGGTCTTAGAAACTTTCAACAGAAATGAGTACCCTTGTAACATACTGATCCTTTCAGATATATTTTAAAATATATCTACTATGGAAGTAATAATTTGGACATAAATGTCCATTTCTTTAAACAGAAATGTATTTGTAGAAGAATGGACTAGCAAGCTGGGAAATAAGATGGGTGATTTTTCAGCTATAGATGCTGCTACTGACTCTTTCAGTGGCTTTGATTAGGTCCAGTAAAATAAGAGAAAACCCCCTCTTTTACTTTATTTCAAAATGGATAAGATCAGAATTCTGAATGTGAAGGCTTTTTAGTCAGCTGAACTTCAAAGAAAACTTTTAAAGCAAAGATTTAAAGTTGTGTTTAGTACCCCTCGGTATGAGAAACGAAGAAATTATGTTCATAATGCATAATAAATGTTAAATAGTTAAAGTATACTGAAAAAGAGTGAATAAATCTTCTGATTAAATACAAAAATTAGGGAAGAAATTACTGAAGAACTGGCTGAAACTAACTATAGGTGCTTATTGTGAAATGAAAAAAAATCAAAACCCTGAAAAAAAAAATCAACCAATAATATTTTATTTGGTATCAGAACAAATATTCAGAATTATTTCTGTCTATTGAACTTTATATTCAAGTCAATGCTTAAATTTAAATTGCCATTCTGACATTTGGAACTGAAATCATTTATACTTAAACAGAAAATTAAAAATATTAATTTATTTCACAACTTTATAAATCCTGACTGCCATTTGGCATTGCATTTAACCTACATTAGGAAATAGGAGATAGCTTGCAATTCCTGATACTCATAGCGTTTAATAAAAATAAATATAACAGAACTTTATCAGAAGTTCAAAAATTAGTTGTTGACATAGAATTATATCCTACTATCAAGTTACAGCATTCATGAATACACATACACTGGGTTTTGTAACTTTGTAAAAAGTCACATGGACTATTATTTTCAATTCTGTTTTAAAACCATTTGACAGTAGAAATGCACGAGCATCGACGAACATAAGCTCCAAGGTGGATGCATATATTTTCAGGTTTTCAAATTTTTCTAACATAATTTGTGATCCAGTATTGCAAAGGTATGATGGTACTGTTAACCCTTCACCAGGCCACATGATCAAAACTATATTATTGACTCCTGGGGACGTATTAAGAAGGAAGATGTTTGTTTTGCTCTCCAAACAAAATAAAAAAACCCAGAGAAACAAACTTATTAACTTTTGCAGATGCAAATTAAAACAAAAACAAACATCTTACAACCCATAGGTCTGTAAAATAGTATTAAAGACTATTCTAGAACTTCATATTGCTGTCTTCTTACATTATATCAATGGATAGGTGGTTACCTCAAATAACTTTTTATAAATTTTGGTTTTCTTTAAAATAGATTTTTACAGTGTTTTCAATTATTAATGTAGTGAGATACTGTAGATTCATTCTAATGTTTAAATAAATGATTGCATTTGGTCTCTGATCAGTTTATTTTCTTTAATCTAACTTTCAGGTTGTGTTTTGGAGTTACTTCTGAAACGGTCTGCAAGGCAGGGCGTAATGGCAGCTTTCATAACTGATTTTATTCAGTTATGAATGGGGCTTCATAACTGATTTTATTCATGCATATTACTGATAACTTACAGTCGCTGAAGGCAACATACTTTGCTACCACTACGTGGTCCTTTCCGCATCAGTATGCTCTCTCAGAGCATCCTCTTGGGTTAGACTTACCTATTTCCCTGGCTCTTGGCTGTTCTGAAATACTAAAACATATTAGTCTGAACATATTTACATGTCTCTAGCATTAACACATCTCAAATACTTGTCTGGAGAGAAATAGGCATATACAGGTTTACATGCATCTCATGAGAAAGTAGGTATCTAAAACAGGCCAGATCAACTGAGCCCTTAAAGTGTCTCTTGTGAGCGAGCAGAGACGTGTTTATCTGCAGTGTTCGCTGGCGTGAATCCGTCCTCTGAGCCTCCTGAAAAGTGAAACCTTGTCACCTGTATGCTGAAGCTGTTTTCGAACAGTCACCGTTTTCCTCACTGGTTCCCACACTGGTATCAGCAAAATAATGCCTAGTTTACGAGGTGTTGAAGAATATATTTAGTTTTTGCTTTGTTTTGCTTTTGTTGTTAATATTTGTGCACTGATAAGGAGGCTGACATACAGTTTAGCACCTGTGTGTGTTTGGACCAAATACGCTTCTATAACTGCTCCTCTGCTGTAGAGTCATACCTTCCTGCTCAGTTGATCCGCGTTCAAAACCCGGTTAAAAGGAGGTTTCATCTCTGTCAGTGTGAAGATCCTTCAGGAATCCTACATCACTTACTTTCCTAGTAGCATTTAATCGCCTCAGCAAAGTGACGCAAACCATTATAAAAATGAATATTTTTATAATGCCGGCTCTGAATACTGTGTTCAGCCAGATGCTTTCATAGCTCTTTGAAATTTCACATTAACTCTTGTGAACTCCTGCCCTTAGCTGCATAAACTGTGGATACACTATTCCAGGTGCTTGAGGAGGGGTAGAAACAGGCAGAACCGTCTTGCTTCTCTGTCGCGTTGGCACCGACGGCTTCGCTCCGCTCTAGCTCCTTGAATCGCTGTCTTCGTCAGCAGTGTTTCTGTGTAGCCTTGTGGCCAGCGTACAACTCCTTCTTCCATACAGCTTATGAACGTATATAGCTGTTAAAGTCATTGAGTATAACGTGCCTAAAGTTAACCTGTATTTTAAATGGTAATTTTGTTTAGAAGATCCATTTTGGTAGAGGGTTCACTGTTCACTGACAGAGTGTACTGGGGACCGCAGGCGCTTAGTGCGGTGACTGAAACAAGACCAGTTTCTTGCGCTGACTGGTTTTGCTTTACTCCTCTTACCTTTTGATATCTGTTTGATTGGTTTTTACTCTTTTTATTCAGTTGCTTTGTTTCAAACCTATATTAAGGGTACTTGCTTCCTCTAACTTAACTACATTTACCACAGTGCCAGGCAGCCCAAAATAAGGGCTTTCACAGAAATCACTCAGCTATGGGGTTTGGGGTGAGGTGGGAGACAACTACCTTCCATGTCATACTTTGCAAATAAAGATTTTCAAGCAAGAAAGAGGACCAGATGCAGCACCAACAGCAGAACAATAGAATATAATTTACGTTTTATATCCAAATCTCTTTAGTTAAAACATTATATTAGCCTAGTGTGCTTTAATTAATAGTGTAATATTTCCTCCATGAAGAAAAGATTTCTGCTTTCTGTCTGCAAAAGCTATAAACATAGATGATAAAATCTATGCATTTCCTGAATAAAAATGATTCTTCCCTACTAGAGCTAAGGATATACTTAAAATAGATTTTGAAAACGGTTAATGGGGATGCTTTTGAAATGTGCAGGTTTTCTGAGTGGCTTTAGATCTTGAAAAAATATTCCACTGTGTTACTTTTAGAAGGATTAGCTGTCGATATTGCCGTCAACTTTAACAGTTTTTTTTTGTGTGTGTGAATAAAAGAATGGTAATTTTTAGCTCTTGCCTCCATTTTGTCTTTTTCACAAGTGTAATACTGATTTTTCATACAAATTTTAACATACGAAGTAACACGCAAAATATGTTCATAAACAATATGTTGATATTCCTCCTGCAGATTAAACCTTTACCGAATATATGCAAAGCAGTAATATGTACCCTTTCTTGCTTCGGCACTTACCGATACAGACCTGAGAATATGAGAATATATTCTGGATTTCAGTGTGCTTTCACTGATGTGTTGTGGATGACACATTTTTTTCTTTTAAATGCTCTAGAAGTGGAGCAAGATAGTTGAATGAGATAAAAAAAGCTTTTCAAAAATTTTGTAGTGCCCCTTTTTTAAAGGTTGCTGACTTTTCACTTAGTAGATAAGGTAGTATTCTGGACTTCTGGGGGGGCTGGGTAAGCTTTAATGTTTCCTAACAGAGAAAAAATACCAGATAAGATTTGACTGTTTTTAAAGAAAACATGTCTATCATTCTTTTCATTTTCCATGTTGCATAATTGTGTGACAATATTTTACACAACTATGTATGGTGCATGGAAATAAACACTTTTTGCCATCATTCTTGTTTCAGATATAGGAGATAAACAATAAATTGTGAATCTTACTTCTTTCCTATGTCAGCTACACAAATTGATCTAAATACTCGCTTTTTGTAAAATATTTTTTCACTTTCTTTTCACAATAGGTACACAATATAAGTTTATTACATAGCCGGTGCGCTAGTTTGTGTATACTTCCGTGATAAAATTTGTAAAATGAAATGAAATATTTTAGACTGTATTGCCTGATACGTGTTTTTGTTTGTTTTTTTTTTTAACTAGTGAAAAAGGCCATAGATTTTAAATCTAGAGGATTTAAATTGTTTCCAGGGAAAGACAACAGCAACAAGTTTTCTATCTGTGAGTGTACTCCTTTTTTGTTACTTTTTTCTAGTGCAAGAGTAAAGTTTGTGTTGTCTGTGTTGTTTGTGTGTTTTCAAATTTGTTTATGTATTTTTAATAGTATAACTGAAATCTATTTCTATCGTTAAATCTATTTCTTCAGTCTGCATGGTGAATTTTAAAATATGGTTCTACTCTGAAAACTGGCTTCCTATAAATCTGGCATTGTAGCCTGCTGTGTGTATTTTGTCAATAATTTCAGATCAAATTTGTAGCACTTACAAAGAAATCAATATTCAGTCTCCCAGGTGTCAGCTGAAGTCTTAGGTGTGAAGTGAGGGTATGTCATTTTAATGGCAAGCTTTTCCCAGCAGCAAAAGGCTGTGCAAGCCAAAGCCCATTCTCTGATACAGATGTACAAACACATATTTTTGGTCAAGAAACATCCATGATGTCACTTCCTGCAGACTCTTCTTTATTAATTTTGACATTTTGAACTGATTAAGGTGTACATTTAGGTATCTTGCAGATGCTTAGTGCCTTCTATTTTAATTATGGAAAATAGAAACTGAAAGTGCTCAGCATCTTAGAGGATGGAGCCCTGATTAACTTGTAAGGAGCAGTCACACAACTTTCTAACATAAATGAAACAGGTATGACTCTAAATGCATTAAAGAGAGGATCTTTTACAAAAGAAGATGCCATTTTTACAGAGTTAGGTTTTGGACTAGAACCACATTTTAAATATTTATAAGTAATTGGTTGAAATAAAGATGGACTAAATGCGTAGCATGTTTCTGCTCATACTACATTTCAGTATTATTCACAGGAGAGAAGAAGACTCAACAAATATATGTACTGATGAGGCTTCTTAGACTGGACAGATTTACACTCATTTTTTGTTTAAAGATAAGTGAGGGATTCAGTTCCCCGGATTTAGCATGGCAGTGGCTTTCTAGAAGAAAATAGATTCCAATGTATTTATCAGTTTTAGATTTTAAACTGCCAACATGTAAGCCATAATTTTTTGGACAAAGTGGTGAACTTTTACTAAGTAAGAAAAATAGAGCTATTCCAATAGAGCAAACCAAACTTCCAATCATCTTTTTATAATGTAGCATATTGCCACATTCAACTCTTCCATAAACTGTATCATCTAAACAGTTCTGAAAGACAGTCTTATTTTATTTGAAAACTATGTATCAAGACCTTTTAAAAAAAAGTGTTTTTTTGTACCAATGGGTGACTGGAAAGTGGAGTGGTTATACAGCAAGAAATATAATAAGATGAGTGAAGTAGTGTTTATTACGTAAACAGCATTGAAATCTCTCCCTCTGTGATTTTATAGTTACAAAAGAGAACAGTAGTAGACTGGCTGACAAAATTGATTATTTCTTTTTAAAAAAATACGTTACATAAATCATTAAATATTCCATTCGTGAACATTAATAGGGATTGTATAATATTTACAGGGATGTATCAAACGTGATATCTAGATGTGACTTATAAAATTAATGATAAAGAAATTCATCTATCAATATTTTCAATATAAAATCTTTATATCATTTAATATTTTGTGATATTCTATGTAAAGCTGAAAGCTTTGATATCTTGGTTTATTTATTATGCAGAGTAGATTACCTATGAGTCAATAATAGGCAAAGGTGAAAACCTTGTTGATTTGTACCTCTATTCAGTCAGAATCTTGTTATAAAAAGATAACTTAGATTTTATCTTATAATCCAGCACTTTGTTAGCTGATCAGTTTGGTAGCTGGTTTAACTGAAGAGGCAGTATTGAAATAAAAGCATATGAATTTAATTGTTTATTTTAGGTAAAATTCCCAGTGTGACCTCAGTTGGATCTATACTTGCATAACAATGATAGAATAGGGTCCTTAAAAAAAAAAGACTGTCACTCAACTGTTAGCGGAAGTAAGGATAAGTGCATACCTATTTTAAATTACATCTTATGGTATCAAAGTCTTCTAAAAATGGTTATCTTCTAGCAATTCTCATGGGTACATCTTTTCCCTGTTCTTTTTTGTTGAATGCACCAGGTGCATAGTATACAATATTAACATAATTCTCCTCCCTTATGAATAATTTTACAGACATAGCCCCTGATCCTGCAAGCACTTATGCACATGCCTGGTTTAAATGCTTATGGTTATTGGGCTTACCCTTGTAAGAAGAAAAACATGACACGCGTGCCTAAGTATTTGCACATGGTAAAGCCACAATGATAATATATCTTTGATACTGGTATGCATCAGCTTCATTTTGCAAGTGTTGAGGTTAACAACAAAATCATTGAGGGAACCTTCTTCAATCTGGACTAGATCTCTAGGATTTCTTGCTCCCAGTTTCAGACCGCCAAGGAATGCCTTCCTCACAGAAGCCAATTTTTAATATAGAAAACCCTTTCACTGCTTATTACCAAAAAACTATTTGGGATGTAAACATATACATATGGGGGGGGGAGAGGGAGAGGGAAAGGGAGATCTGGAGAACTACAGGAGAGCTGTGTTTCAGTGGATTGAAAAATCAAGCATTCAATTTGAAAAGCTTCTATATGAACATCCTAAATTTAAGTTGTACATTAATTTTTGGCAAAGTACTTATGCATATTAATGATGAACAGAAATAAGAATGGATTTAAGCTTGTTCTTAAATGTGTTACTGATTTGGGATCAAAGTTAAGAGGAGAAATCAATTTAAGAACTTCTTTCTAGAACTTTTATTCTGAATTTTGATTGTTGCATATGTGCCATTTTAATTGTGTCACTGCAATAATTTTACTGACATTTTTTCTTTAACATAATTCTTTTGAATTTTCTTTATGAATATTAATAAGTCCATAAATTATCATTTAAAAATCCTTTTCGTGGAGTAATTTTTAAGAATGGAATATTATATGAAGATGTCAGAAAGCAGGACAGTTTCTCAAGCATCAGTTCTGGGTAGAAATTGTAGAATCTAATAGATCTTGTGCTGTGGAATCCAGTATAGTACTCTTTTTTTACATGAATATTCACTCTTTTACCTTTTTTTTGGGGGGGGGAATGTGATGTACAAAGATTAAATGATTTGTGAAATGTTAAAATAGGAAGTTCAATAAATAGAAGTAGTCTCATTTAAACTTTATTTTTATTTTGTTTATGGTAAAGTAATTCTTCTATGTGCGTAGGTATATGGTACAGCCCCAAAATGTCATTATTTTTTTTTATTATTATTACTCAGCATTATTATCAGGCATCATGAGTAAAAGTTTCTAGCTATAGTTTTAACACACCTTTAAAAGTCAGAAAAATTAGCAGACAGTCACACAACTAAGAACACATCTTTTGCCCTTTTTGATGTCAAGTGTAATTCCTTTCCCTCTTATCCTTCCTGCATTATGGAAAATCATGATCACCCAGTGAATCTGAACGATCTGCCCGCAGCTGTAAGGTCAGGCGGGTGTATACTGGCTGCTCATGATGCTTCTGAATTGCTCACAAGCTCCTGCAGGCTTTGGAGCTGCGCGCATGCACCCGAATACTCCCCAGGTGGAGGTCATTCCCAGCGCTCGTCCCGCGAGTTCCTCCTAGATCGCTTTGTGCACTGCAGTTTATGGAACTATAACTGTCAGCAGTATATGTGTGCCAGCACTAGCAGGAACTTGGTTTTCTGTAGGTAATATGCTTTCCTCACACTTTTAGTAAGTATAAGGGGAAGAAAGGATAAAAAGCCAGTACTATGGATGTACTCTGAGGGATGTCCTTCCTTGACCCAATGCCCTGGGCATTTGATGCAGATGAATGCAGGTTACCTTTATGGGCTATTAGAACCAGCTTGTATAAGGTATCACTCGGTCAGGGCAGAGGAGAATGAATACGGCGGTCCCAGCTGACAAGTGCTGAGCTTGATAGGTTTTTGAGTAGAGAAGGGTGTTAACTTGATACATTTTCCTTGTAACCTTCTGCAAAATTTTCTTGTAGCTTTTGCTTTTCTCAGAGATGCTGAACCAATTCTTCCATTGTTGTGCATGTAAGAAGACAAGTTTCAAGGAAGGGAAAGTCCAAAAATTCTACTTTGGCAATTATGTAGTCAGGGTTGGGAAAAAAAAAAATACTCTGAACGTCATTGGCTTTTATGAACAGCTGAAGTTTAACACACACCCCTTAGGAGTGTAGTTAAACACAACATTTTTTATTCAGATAAATCAATTTTACCAATTACTGTGATTAGCTTAATTATATGCCAGCTCTTCCTTAAAAGGAGACTTATGTTACTCGAAAGTCTGTCACTGCAAATCCGTTGGTCTAGAACCTCAGAAAGGAAGATGCAGTGAAAAATCTTTTTCTGATTAGCATAAATCTCTTTGTTTCACGTCAGCTTGTATTTCTGCAAAATACTCTTATACTGGATCATGAATCTTCCAGTAATAGCAACCCAATCTCCTTTGCTAGCGTTTTCTTTTGGGACTGCCACCTCCTGATTCAATGAACATCAAGAATTAAATGCAAAGTAAAAAGGATTACTTTGGCCTGCAAATTTTTTTTGTAATATAAAGTTTTGCAAGCTATAACAATTGTAAGAAAGCAGATAATGTATTAAAAAAAAAAAGGACAGGGAGTTGAATATGCTGAGTGCTAGACTGCTGCATACAAACTTCTGGAAAACCATACTGATCTGAATACTAGTAACAAACTCTTATATGACATACAGTTAACCACAAGAAATTTCTCTCTAAGATCCATTTTAGTTTATTTTAAGATCAATGTATGCAAATCAAACAGGCATTTGAGTTTGCCCTCAGATCACCATATTTTGGGGATATCTGCATTTTCAATATTGATTAAGGACAGTTCTCTCAGCATGAGCCTGTCCATTCAAGTTTTCTTATAATTTGAGAAAAAAAGGTCAGCTCTTAGTGGAGATGACATTTGTTAGGTTATGTACAGAGTAAAATATTACAGCCCTTTACCTTGGTGAACACTCCTTTAAATGTGAATGTTTGTAAAGGAATAGCAATAACATTTTCATATGGGTTCGATAATTTTACAAGCAAACAAAATAGTTGATTAATAAAACTTATAAAAAAATAGTGTTATTTGTTAAAAGAATAAGGAAAACACGATTTATTTATTATAGAGAAGAAAATTGTGGAATGAAACTTGAGATTATATGAATGATCATGCTCTATAGAAAATCTGTTTTAAATGACGAAAAGTGTAGATACTGTGCATTTTCATATTTGTTGATTGTTTAAATTTGTATTTCCTAAAACCAGCATTATTTTGTTTTTTGTTTTGTTTTGTTTTTTTGCAGTAAATGAGGGAGGTATTAAACAGGCATCCAATTTGTGTCCAGATCCTGGAGAACCAGAAAATGGAAAACGGATAGGCTCAGATTTTAGGTAAAACATAAACCCTACCATTATGTCATTTTTGTTATATTAACTTGCTGAAAATCACTTGGAAAATGTATATGTTACAAGTCTATTGCTGTTGTCGAGCAACTCTTGCATAACTGAACTTCTCAGTGAAAACTGAAATGGAATTCTGTCTAAAATTGCATAGCAGAGCATGCAAATAAGATAACATATATTACTTAGAAGAGAACATATATATGGGATACTTTGGGATAGATTGAATTGAAAGTAATTTAAAATCATTTTCTCATGAAAACGCTGTCTTGGATCTACAAATATTGAGTGTACATTTGAAATAAGTTTTTTTTGAAGGACATGGGGGATATTAAAAAGAAAAATATGCAGAATACGATGCAACACAAAAAGAACAAAAATAATATATAATATTATATATTTGATTCACATACAAATTCTGGACAAATTTTGTATTAAAAGAACAAATCTTAAACTTGGCACTAGCTTTATGTCACCTGCTATAATCTGACTTTATCATCGTATTTACAAATTGCTTCAAGACAGCTAATTGAGGAAATAAAAAAGGAAGAAGTAAGTAGGGAGATTTACCATTTTTAAATTAATTGATTTTATTACATCCAGTTTTGTTTTGATAGATTAATTGCTTTTATTACATCCAATTTTGTTGGAGGTACATTTTCCATACAACACAGCAGACCTTCTAGCATCTGAAGATAACAAAATGTTAGAGTAACGTTATGAGACAAGGGTAGATATTTTACAAAATTATATTACTTTATCTTTTACATAAAACTTCTTGACACTTTCTGCTTTATTTTTTGTTTTCTCCCTGTAATCAGGCAGAACATAGGCTTGAAAGTGGCAATGGAAAAAATGTGCTAGCCATCAGTCAGTTAGTTAATAATAATAATTCTAATAATTATTCTTTTCCTCTACTTTTGAGAAAAGAAAAAGTTCATCCTGCATCAGAGAAAGCTTTACAATTCATTTTATGTGTAATGTAATATCTGATATAAACCTGACAAAATATGTTTTATTGATATTTTCAGAGAAATAAAAATCAGTGTAACTAGCTAGTTGCTTAACTATCATGATTTTTAGAATTGTTACATAGTCAATGTTTCATATTTTAAACTCAGGCGTACAGCTGGCTTGGTAGGCAAAGCTTTTGACAAGGAAACTGGAAGTGCTTTTCTAGTTTTCACAAGTTACAATGGAAAGACCTGCAATACTGCAATAAGGAGCCAGTTAGATTTTTGTAAAGGACAGTACCTCAAAGGACAGGTGATGATCATCTTTCTCTTAGGCTAAACTATTTGGAGATAATTTAACTTTATTTCTCACTATACACTGCGGTGATGTGCTTGTCAAACTTTCACATATTTTGAGGAATTTGTGAGAAAATAAAAGGAGAAGGCATTTCAATTACCAAACAGCATAATGTGAGATTTCAAAATCAAAATATTTTCTTTTTAACTGTTTTTTAGATTATTTCTCATTGGCCAACTTCATGACTTTTTTTTTTTTTTTAAATCTCCACATTATCTGTGAGGGAAGATCAGCTTTTCTATCAGCTCTACTGAATGTGCTACTTAATGTTTATACATATAACATAAGGATAGATCCAATTCCATTACAATGGAAAAGAGTAAATACTTAAGACATTTCAACAGCACATAAGTCAAAGAGCTTAGCTTGCAAATACAATAGCCGCTGGAGGTGAAAAAAGTGAAAATGACATGAAAATATTCTGTTTCACAGCTTTTTGGTGAAGGAAAAAGGTAAATACATTTTTGTTTAAAATTTTGTTAAAAGAAGAGGTAACAGTTATGTGATGATCCTATTGGCTTTATGAGTTTTGTTTCTGGAAGGCAGGAAATGAAGATGGGATGTTTATTTTGGTGAGGAAGCATTTTTTCCTGTTACAATAAAAAATATATATTCAGACCAAACTGAACTTATATATTTTCCATTGATCCCTATTTTGATCTATTTGTGAAATTAATAGCAGACCAATCTTTTATCCAATTAAGGAAAATGAAAAAAAAAATTAAGGTAATACTTAACTGGTTCTATTAAGAGGACAGATTCTAGGAACAGCCTAAAAACCTATTGTGTTTAACAGCAGCCTTGATGCTTACTGATTTCGTACCGGATTAGATTGCCAAGCAGCAATATTTTCTGAAAGCACAAGTTTCTCACTGGCTTCACTGTCACCTCAAATATATTTTTGAGTTGCCCCGGAACTAATTTATTTCTTCCAGGAATTTGAACTTACATGGTTTAGTTTCTTGAAAGATAACAACAGTCTGGATAATCTTCTCTGAACAAATCCCATCTAGTACAGCATCCCCTTAATAGCCAGGTCTATTCTGAATGTAGCTTTCAGAAGCAACGCAGAAAGGATCATCTGCTGCACTGGTTTCCTTTCAAGACACTGAGTCTTTCTGCTATTTTGTGTAAGCTTCTTTCTGTAATGCAAAAACACTTAACCTGGAAAGAGCTGGAGGACATACATATGCACACACATACACAATGTCTAGCCACTTTATTGAGCAACCTTGAAAAAGGGATCAATTACTCCTTTGGTTGTATTCGTCATATACATATTAGGGATAGATAAAATGTTTTTCTAGGGAGGGCTTGTTAGAGGTCTCATGAATGTGAACAGTGAGATTGTCACTTGTAAGAGTAGGACTGCTGAATGTTAAAAATACTCATGTCATTTGTTTCAAGTTGAACACTGGATAAATTAAAAAGAGGTCTTACATGGAACAAAAGCAAAAAACCAACAGACTGAATAAAAGTCGCTTTTGAGTCAATCTGGTTTCAATCCTTGGCTGTTCATAATGGCTGTTCAAGTGCTTCATAGGCTGTCAAAGTATGAACACTATTAATTCTTTAAAATAGAGAATACATTGAAAGAAAATTCTTTTATTCAGTTAAAATTATAAAAATACAAAAAATCTTTTCTAGATTTTCTAGAAACAAAGAAAATATAGCAGACTTTTCCCCTATTCTTGAAGTTACTTTCTGTATAGTGAAGGAAATGGCTTTACTCTGAGATGGCCTTTTTTATTTTTTCCTCTATGAAGAGGAAATGAAAATCCCAACTGCAGTACCTTAGTTTTAAAATTTAATATTCTGAGGAAATGTATAGACTAGCTTTATCATGATCAATCAAAATCTAATTTAAGTACAATTTAAGCTACTTTAGAGAAGAGTATGCTCTTGTCACTTTATCTTTCTTCAGGTGTGAAGGAATGGGTTTGGAAACACTGTACTGCAACTTCACCCCTGTTCCGATTACAAACTCTTAACTGCTCTCTCAGCATATTCACATGCTCTTATATGTTTCTTACACAAATTTAAAAAGTCTGCTGTGAAAGATAAACTGCACCATTTTATGGCATCCTTTGGGATCAGACACTCCATACTCACTCTAAAAACTCTGCTGGGTGCTACTGTGTATTTCTTGGGCATCTGTATTTTTCTTAAAAGTTAGCACTAGATGATTTACCTAGGATTCATGGAGGACTTCTGAAGCCGAGGGAAAACGAGCCTCCTGTGGCTTAGGCTAGCATTTTAAATACTGAATTATTATCCCAATGAGTCGTGTGATGGTATACCTAATGCTGATTTCTGATTTCTTTAAATATTACAAATTCAGATATAACTCTTTCCTTTGCAATAATAACTTTGACCACGCTAACCACGCTAGCTGCCTAGAAATTTCACCCTTCCTTTTCCATAAGGCTTCTCTGAATCACATACCCTTCTCTGCAGATATATGACATGAGCTTCTAGACCCTGAAAATTCAAGTCAAACATCCCTAAAACTGAACAAACTTCAGAGCACTCGCAGCTTGAGATGTGAAGCTGATTTGTGGGGGGACAGCACATTTTATTCGTCAGCAGTCAATTGGTTTCTCTTTTAGTGTAGCCTCCGACAGTACAAATTTTGTGGGTCTCCAGAGTGTCGGAAGACATAATTTTCTCTGCAACTGAAATTTACTCTTCAATTCAATTTGTTCAAGGGACAATCAATTTTTATTGACTGGAAGTTTAAAAAATTTAGATATTCTAATATTACATCTTGGAATCCTAAGGTCTTGTAGTTGTATTTCCAAATACTGACTCAGCTGCTCTGCAATAACTGTTCATAAGCCTGCCCTTAACTTGAGACAATTTCTGTGGCTTAGCTCAATTTTCTTATTGCAGCTTAAACAGACTGGGGTAGTTTCGATCTGTAGTTTGCACACAAATAGATATCAGCGATGAGTAGGGAGATGTTAGGCTGAGGAAATTTGTTATTGTGAATAGTCTTGAAAACTTACATATAGCCTTGGCTGCTTTTCCTGCAGAAGGAGGACATAGTAACTGTGCTGCAATACTGATCATTCATTTGCATCAATATTAAAATGTATCATATTAAATGTATTATTTGATAGGGGTAGGTTTTCAGAGCTGTATTTATTGAGAACAAATAATATTTAACTATTTCTGCTGCTTTTTTTCTAAGGCAGAAAATGATATATTCTTATCAAACTTGTTCAGTTGCCTGTGTGTACAGAATAGGGTTAATTTGCCAGAAAGATCAGATCTAGAAGATTTTTTTTTCTGTACCCAAATATATACAGGACTTTTCTACCCATTTTGGAAAAATAGAGCGGTGATGTAGTGTACAAATTCAGAGATATTCCAAGTAAATCTGCAAAAATCAGCACTGCATGTTGCAGTTGCTCTGACCTGAAATGCAGAAGATTCACTTGTCAAGAATCTACTTTCACAGTTTCAGGGGCATATGTGATGAAAACCCCTTCTTAGAATCAGGGCAGGAACTCAAACTTCCGTCTCATATTCAGGTCAGTGAGGTACTGCCCTCTTGAAAAAGAATTATTTAATACTTGTTTTATATTGAGCTAAAATTATTCTTTGGAAGCTTGAGGGTAATTTCCTGCTTGAAAAACGAAATGTCCGTCTACCGCCTCTGCTGAAGCTGTCCATAG